CACACGTGCCGCCCGCTCCTGTGACTCACACTTCCGACAGAACCACGGGCCAGTTGGCACCTGCACGATGCCGTAGCACGCTGCGACAAACACACAAGGAGTGTCAAACTGGACCAACGCACGGTAACACACCTGTCTTTTAATGTCAACTCCAGGTACAAATGAAAACATGCACATTTAATGAGTCATTCATTCATTCACAGGACAGATGTTGAACAGCCTGAGGGTCAACAATTTGTACCTTTAACAGTTTCACGTTTTCTGGAAATAATATTTTACTTTTTATGATTGAAATGACTTGCCAAGCTCTATAAATACTTTAATAAATACTAGTAAAGCTGGCAGTACCTGTCCAAGAATACTACTCAAGATAACAGTGACTTGACACTTGGCAAAGCCATCCTGCTTTAACAGATGAATAGAAAATGATTTTATGTTTTAACTTTTCTTTTTCTAAGTTTAACATCTGTCCCTGTCAGTGGTGAGAGGTGCTGCTGTCATCCTGATCGGATTAATCTTATAATCCTATTTCATTCCACTTTGACATAAAGCTTTAATTTGACTGCGACAGCCCTGAAATCAGCCTCCTGCATCAGCACCTTTCTGGATCAGAATCTTCTGCACTTTTTCAGTTTGGGCGCAAATTTCTTTTTGTTTTTTTTTGGGCACATTTGTGCACCAACACCGTCACAGCATCACTGAGATCAGAGGGCTGATCCTCACTCAGAGTAGCCATCCTGCGTGGGGTCCCACTTCAAATCGCTCGAATGCAACAAAGCAAGTGGACACGCGCTGCTGTCCGAACGAACACGGCCTCGCGAACGCGTCGCAGCGTGCCGCACGGACCTCGAGGCGCCATCCGGGCTCGGTGTCACGCCGCTCGGCCCTGCGCGATCAATCAAGTGTGCGGAGAGGAAGCAACAACAGCACGCTTACCTACCCGCCCCTCCCGCACGAACACAGAACACGCACGTAGGCAGGGAGGACCAACGCCTCCGGCCGCAAGCTAGAGCCGCTCCGGCTGCCCGGGAATCACACGCTAACAGCAGCTAATGTTACCTTGGTGAACGGCGACGCTGCAGCCGTGTCCATCACAGTACACCAGCGGATTCTCAGCCCAGCCTCGCTCGTCGGAACACACGCAGCAACCTCCGACCATTTCCCGCATGCTGCTCCCATATGAAGAAATAGATTTCCCCTCCCGGCAACGGCTCAGACCAGGGCCAGGCCTGTCAGGCGGTCGTCCCGCATCTTAACGCCGCTCTAGGCATGGTCAAGGGCCGCCCACGTCGTGCAGTTTCAGTGCAGCGGAGAGCCGAAATCTCTGCGTTTGTGGTGCTTCTAGTAGATTTTCCGTGATGTCCTCCCCGTCCCATACATAAGTGCGCATGCTCAGATCTTCGCCGGAGTAAAAGTCACAGCAAAGGTAGCAAGTTATTGTTGAGCAGGAAGCGCCTTTTCAGCGCGTGTTTTCAGGCAGTGACGACTCGATTTCCACGAACCCGGGGAGCAGACGCCCGCACGGCCTCCCGCCCCGGTCCACTGTGTTCTTTACACGAACCCCGCGCATCACGTCGGCCCAAACCGCTGTCTGCGCGCGGCATCAATCGCGTCTCAACAGCGCCATCTGCAGGACATCTTGGGGGTGGCTAACAGCAGGAATTACAAGCTATTTCACCATCCGGCGTCCGGACCTAAAATAAATAATAAAACATTAATAATGAGATAACAAAAGATGGAAGATTCCCGTGTGACAGCGGCCAAAACAGGTCAACACAATATCATAAAATATTAAAAGACAAAAATGGTCATAATGGGGAAAAAAACACAAAAAACACGCAAAAGAAAGGAGCTCAATTAAATAGAATAAAACATAAACTTTCATTAAAAAAAAACCTAAAATAGAAGACAAAGTAAAAAGTCAAGTATAATACAAACAGGAGCTCAGTAAATAAATGTACCATTTGAAATTCATAATGTAATGACAACGTTTTATTTTTGCTCATTTGCTTTTTTTTTTTATTTACTAAAAATGAGTACCAAAATAAACACATAAATAAATAATAACAATAATGTTTAATGACAGTAATGACAATTTAATTACTAAATAAACCTGATTACATAGAAATTTAAAAAAAAAAAGACAGAGAGAGAAACACGAACCCAAATGTTTCGTAAACAACGCTAATCTCAGTTTGTAGCTCATCACAACTATTACACAAGTTTAACACTTTGACAGATAAGCATCTATTTTCTGTTATTGGTACCGACCCTGCTTTTCATACGTTCTCTCTCTGACTTCAAACAGCTTCTTTCAAATATTTTTCCATTTCTTTGTTCATTATCAGTTTAGTGCATCAACTAAATCATAAAGATTTAAAACAGGCAGCATACGAACGGGATTAACGTTTGCACAAACCTCACCTTCAAACCACCAGTGTGAACCATCAGCGATGGAGGGCTAACACCCTCATTTCCAAGGTTTTACATATCAACACATAAAAAAACCCTCAGATGAACAGCAGCACAGCGTATTATTACAGTGTTATTACACACAGCTGTAGACTGGGAAGACTGGCAGGTGTCATCTGTGAATAATGTTTCTCACTCTAGAACGATGGACTTCAATTTATTTGGAGATGGTCTTTCCAGACTGACGGATCATTGCTGATGTCTGTCCTCTTTGGCACTGAATTAACACACGGCTGAATGATAAAACATCTGCTTTAACACAGGTGTTCATACAAGCACCTGGGTGCTATTCTTAGTTTCCACAGAAATGTCATGTGTTGTTCTTTATCAGAAGTGATATTTATCTAATTTTAATGTAAGGATGAGATTAGTTTATGTCCTGATATGTAGTGTTGGAGCTGAAAGAAGAAGAGGAGGCGTATTTGAAACTTTTACAAGCTCTAACTGGGCTGTTTATGAGTGTGACACCCTGGATTCAGAAAAATAGTTTGAATCACAAAGACATAAAACACTTTTTCCTTCGGCGGAGCTCATTAGAGGTCACCATATATATCATCTATTCCCAGCATCCTCTTCTGTCATACCAACCCTCCACATGTCCTACATACATCTTCTCTGAGGTCTTTTTTCCTCCTGCCTGACAGCTCCTACTTCAACATCCTTCATCCAATATATTCATCTCAGCCTTGCTTCCCTAACTTTATTTTCTATTTAAGAAATCTCTATATGTTTCCCTTAGAGATCTATCGATATCAGTGAATTGAAAATGGAAGCAGTCTCACCATTTGTGGAAAAACTGAAGAGTGTAGCTAAAATCACATTTTTTAAAGATTTAAAGGAAAATATTTAAATTAAGTGAATGTCTCTATTTAAAAAACAAACAACAACAAAAAAAAACTCATGATGTGATATTATAGTATATAGTATATCAGAAATCTGTTCACTATTTTATTACAAATTATATCAGTAAGGAAGCTGACTAAATATTAACTGATAATTTATGGCAAAGGGGTGGGATTAAATAAGTGTTTACTTCTTCCCTTTCAACATGTAAATTAATCAGAACGTTTTTTTTGTATGTAATTTGTAAAGTATTTTTTTCTTTCTTATTTTCTTTTCTAAATGTACTTGTAAATTGTTCACATGTTGAAATAAATTACCAATCAATCAATCAATTCGTGCGTGTGTGTTTATAACGCTGTTGTGAATGGATGACTCAGGAGACTTTATTCAAAGAAAGAATAAACTGAGACGGGTGGGTTTTTTCCATACAGGTTGTTATGTAATCGTTTTTGCGGTCTAACCCAGTTGAGATCAAATTGGGCTGTTTTGTGGTCCGTGAGCTAAAACGAGACGCATGACGCCCCCGATCTATGGGAGCAAAGCTGAAAAGTGCTAAACGTGTGAAATTAATTCCAGTTTGTCCATCTGAAGCGCCCTGAGGTTTAATGACTCAAACTTTACTGGCTGTCTTTCCACTTACTCTAACTCCTGTAATTCAGTCAGCAGATGTCACCAAAAACATCTCATTTTGACTGGTCTTGCGTCATGGATGCTTTATGACTCCTATCTCGTCTGGTTGAGTAATTCTGTCTTTAAGGTGAAAAGGGGACCTCACACTCACACACACGCACAAACACACACACATACGGGTAGAAGCTATCTCGACATAAGCCCTATTCCCGTTTTCCCACGTTTCATTTTAGCTCAGACGTTCATATCTTCCTACATTGTCACAATCTGACATGTCTTTCAGCCACAATCTTACTCAACACCATCAAACGACTCGGAGGACACATGCTGTTAACTCTGTCTTATAATAGGAAAAAGAGAACCAGCGCAGTTGTACTTTTGAAATGGATGACTGGGCTTTTTATACTGACATATGGACACAAAGCTGTGATGACAGTTTGTCTCACAAGTGTCATTTCTCTTCAAACCCAAAGAGAGAAAAGGGAACTGGCGCTGATGGAGAGGACAGATAGCGAGGTGGCAGCTGGATGAAGCTAACACCCTCTGCTGATCTGAAGGCAGCAAGGCGTAGCCGAGTTCCTGCAGTAACATGTGGGGGTGAAGTGCATCCACATTCGCGCGCACACAGACACGCACAGCCCCTCCTGCACTCATATATTAAGTTAGCTAGTCAGAACTCATTTTGTGTGCTCACCAAAACTTCCCCAATACAAACAGGAAAGACAGATTTAGCCGTCAGAGGAGGCTCCTGAAGTTTGTCACAAAGAAATTCCCACAAACATTTGTTGCACCTTTGAGATCCCATATCAGGGAGCTTTACTGGCACACATAATTGATTTCTCTCCTTGCTGTGGGTGAAGTGAGATATAAGTGGGAAGTGGGATTTTTTTTTAAATTTGCATATTCTCTCATTCTTTTCTGGCCAAAAATGTTAGAAATTAAACTATTGTTCACTTTGTTTGAAATCCCCTTCACCCTCTGTCCAACAAAACCACTTTCACATAGACGCCACACGCACAGAAGACCACGTATGACACATTCGCCACATAGACGACACATATGTGAAGAGACATGTGACTCGTTTTTGTATTTTCTCAAGATGGAGTCAGATTAAATCCTGTTATGATCCCGTTACAAACACCATCTCCCCTCCATCCATGGATGGAGAGCAAAAACTGCCAAAATCAAAGATAATTAACAAAATAATTACAAACGGCGTGAAAACTTCAGTTAGAGGAGACGAGCAAAAGGGCTTTGATGCATTTGTAGGTGTTTTTTTAAGCGAACATTTGCTACATTTGCTTAAAAGTCTTGATGTCATGTTTGCTTCTTTACGCTATGTTTAGATCACGGCTGATTCTGCATCAATGCACCAGAATCTCTTTAATACATTTAGTGAAATGAGCAAAGGGTTTACATCCCAAATGATCCTAAACTGTTCCTAACTGCAGACTCTGGTGTAGCTCTGGCATCCACCGTGAAAGAAAATATAGGAATAAACGAGGACATAAACAGGAAGGCGAAAGAAAATATACAGAAATACTTTTAGAAATTATATAAAAAAAACATTCAGAAGCTAATTAAAATAGAAATATTGGGTTGTGTTGTGAAAAATAAGAAAGGCCTACATTTATTTTCAACACATTCACCACATTAATTGAGCCGTTTACTTACATGTGTATTTATTTTAACTTTGGCAGCTTCAGCCAGCCGTACATTTCATCATTTTCAGAATCTGTCAACACGTACTGCATGGAACAAAGCGATCAGTCTCTTTTTCCCTCCTTAATGGAACCTAGAAGATTTCATCTGCTGCCACATGCATTTTGAGGCCTTCAGCTTGACTTTATACTGAATTTTTATCCACCTTTTTCTCTCTCCTTTACCTCTGTCCTCCACAGATGTAGTGCAGTTTTGTACTTTCAAGGGTTAAATGTAACGACGGGACCTCTGTCTCACTGTACGGCCTTTTCTGCACAGTGTGAAGGGAACCGGTGCTGTGTAAATCAAACAGAAGTGAGAAATGTAATTGAACACTGTGTGTTTTGTGTGACTACAAGTCTTGTGAAAAACTGTGAAGCAACTTGTGGGGAGCGCTAAATGAGTACAATATCTGGAGTGAGAAGCAGAGTGATGTGTCCTTTGAAGCCGTGAACTACACTCAGAAAACCACAGCTGAGAAAAAAACAGACATGTGACCTTCGAGATAATAGGATTTTTTTTTTTTCTGCAGTCTTGAATTGCCAAGAGAAGCTAAAAGTCTTTCGGTGGTGCGGCTTGTGTGTGACGAAGGAAGAGCTGTTCTTTTATTACTTACATCTTTACACTGGTAAAAAACAAAAGCATTTACACGATAAATGTAATAAGTGCTCATATTTTTGCAACATTTGAATTAACATGTGGAACTGAGGATTAGGATATACACAGCGGCTACAGCAGGGACCATTACGTACAAATATATGCATGAAAAAGGAGGTAGAAGTGCTCCTGCGTGAACATTTTACAGGCCATCTTTTCAGATGACTACAGTATGACTAAAAACACCCTGAAACCCGTTACACTCGTATAACGTCTCCCTCTCTAACACACACACACCCACACACACACACACACGGGCAGAGAGTGATAGCTACTTCATGCATTCATTTCTGACACTACTTATATGAGTTAATCTGCTGTTTTTCTCATGCAGTGCTGCCGTCGTGCCTGCAGTCTACTTCAACTCTAGGCGGTGCTCGCCGCGGGCTATGTGGGAAGAAAACTCGTAACGGTCCCGACTGCGGTGGCCGCACACGTTGCACTCGAGCGGATCGCGGAAGCCGTGGCACCCCATGTGGATGGTGAACATGACGTAGTCCAGGAAGATCACCCTGCAGTGGCCGCAGGGGTACACGGCCCCGGGCACGGGCTCCCCGTCAGCTCGCATCACTCGCAAAGCCTCGAGAGGCGACAGGGGGATGGGCTGGGTGTGTGGGTGAGGCATGCCGTTCTGGGAATTCAGCCCCCCGAGCAGGTGGCCTAAGCTGTACATGACAGGCTGGGATATCTGGTTGTCGTTGTGGTAAGAGTCCATGCCAAGGGGAGGCTGGGAGGCGTGAGGGATCCCCAGGAGCGGCATGGCCATCTTGTGGCCATTGGTGAGGCCCATGGATGTGATGTCGCCACGGGCTAACGGGATGGGGTAGGGCCTGTGGGAAGGCGGTTGGTCCCCATCTTGGTGGATCGGTTGTTGCTGGTGATGGGCGTCTGGCCCCGGGGAGCCCGACGGAGGATCCTTGACATCAGTTCGGTGGATCAGATCCCTGTTAAAGCTCAGGTCCAGGCACACGCCGTTGTCGCCTAGACGACAAGAAAGAGCTCAGCACGAGGAAACCTCATCCAGCAGCACGGGCAGGGAAACAACACAGTTAGCAAGCAGCAGTTAAAACAGACGGAAAAGATTTAGACCCTTACTGGGTTTCTCACTCCGCCGGGAAAAAGCGAAAACCTGGAAAGTGCCAGGTCGACGGGACAAAAGCAGCTTTAAAGCCTGGCAGCATCCCGAGGCAGCAGTTAGGGACAGGGAGGAAGCATACGACGCAGATGAAGGCCTCTGCAGTGCAGCTGGTGTAATGACAGAGAGACACCTGCTCACGTTTCTCGCCTCGCGCCTTGTTTGCTCTCTGTGGTTACTTCTCTTTTTCCTCCTGTGGTTGTCATATTGAAAGATCTCACTTCATTTGTAAACCTGATGGAGATGTAGGAGGGTTTTTTTTTTTTTTAATTGCCAAAACACTCGTGCTTTTTGCGAGCAGCTCGAAGCTCGATTGCGAAACTACAACTCGGCGTTAGTCTTAACCAGAAAGGTGAGAGCAAGCTATTGAAAATCATCGTGCATGTGTGCGTGTTTGTATATGTACGCCTATAAAGTTTGGGAAATCACTGTGGCAAGTCAACCATTTACCGAAACTGATACTTCTGATCATTACCAGCTCAAATTATCTCAGATCGAATCAAAACACAAGCAGTTAGTAATCGAACTCAGAGGTTTCATGTGCATGACACTGTTTTATTAACCGTGCAATAATTACCAATACCCACCGATGACACAATTCCTGCAGAGAATTTGGGGCAGTGGGGGCCACTCTGTGGTGTGTGCAGGCATGAGGCAGGTGGTCTGCCCTCAAACCCCCTTTGGCGACAGATGAAGGCCAGCATAGACAGACAGACAGACAAGTAGCTCAGACAGACAACTTCAAATTCTGTATTGTGCAGCATAAAAGCGCAGCAAAAGGCAAAATGACAAACGATACGTATAAAAGCCGGAGCCACTAAATATTCCTTAAAGATATAAAAGCACATTTTTAAAGAGAAATCTCAGCCTCAGGTGTTTATACTCTTACCTGTGAACTTCTGTGGCATTGAACTCTTCCGCTTGGCTACGTTGCTGGCGAGCCTGTCGAGCAGCAGCGCACGCTCAGTACCCATCTGAGTCCTGGATGTGTGGCTGTCCTCTGCTTGGCAGCAGAAGAGCACAGAGAGAGAAAGAGAGAGAGATAAGGAAACGAAATCTCTTTTTGATCAGGCAGTGTCATGAGTGCACAGCTGTCCATCAGCCTTTGAAGTCAGTTTTTTTTTTTAAAAAAAGGAAGAAACTCAAAAAAACACGGCAGCTGCGCAGAAGCGCAGTCACGCCGGGAGGAACGAGATATTAATTTGAGAGCAGACGCTCCTTTGACCTCACTTCCTGGTTGCTTTTTTACTTCACCAGCACAGGAGAGGAGACCACAGGATGAGGATGTACTTCCTCACCACTACGGCACTATCAGGCATAAACTTACGACATTTGGTGACCACAGAAACAGAGCATTGTCTGCGTGTCGCAACCGTGCTGTTGTCCTCTGAGTACATAAAGGCTTTTCTGTTTTTTTTATTTGGAGGGAAGGGGGAGGTAAGGTGGTGTGCGTTTGTGTTCCTGCTCGTGTCGGGGTGGCTGGGCTGAAGCATTTGCCCTACATTATTTAGCTTCCCCTTTGATGGTAGAGAGATGAGAAGCGGCCTTCTGCACGCTGAGCCTGTACGCCACAGCAGCCATAACCCGTTTAGCTGTAAGTGCGGGGTAGTAGCCATAAGCTTGTTATTTTTAATGGGGCTATAAAAACAGGATCTGTTAAGTGTGCACCTGCACGAGCGTGTGCATTTCTGCACGAGCTGCAGAAATGCACGCGTCCTTCGTAACTTTAACACCTATGTGTGCATGTGTGAACCGAGTGTCCCTCGGAGACATGTTGGAGTCTTCTTACAAGCGTGGTGGTGAGACAGTGTGTGCGCACCGCTGCTCACCTCTCTCGGCGGGACCTTTGCTCTGAATGTACACATGGCACCTCTCTCGGTGCTCCTCCAGCGAGCTGCGCTGCTTGTAGCTGCGACTGCAATGGTTGCACTTGAAGGGCTTCTCTACTGCGAGGCAGAGGTTTCAGTTAAACACTCAAACACATCGACGGCATGAAGCAAGCATTACTTCGTTAAGTGCGCGGTTTCGCACAAAACTGATGATGGTGTGCATATTGGAGGCCGTGCAGGAGAAACACGTGAACTGAAAGTGAATGAGTAAGTTTCCAGAGGTGAATGAGTAAGATGATCATATGTGATGTGTGTAACCATATGAGAATGCATGGCAAGGTGTTACTGGAAAAGCCATGCAGCCTCAGCAGACCTCAGATTCAA